GAGGCCGCCGGGAAGCAAACGGGGACAAACGAGGTGTGAAGCCGTGGTGAAACGGGTTCCTTGGGCAGTGAGGGCAGAGAGCTGCTGCTGAGTGTGACCCCTTGTTCTAACTGAAAAAGAAAAAACACAACCGAAAGAGCAAAAGGCAGAATGCAAATCCCATCTTACACGCAGTCGGAGCGCAGAGGGGGCGAGGAAGGTGCCCTGGTCCCACATTGGCCCGAGCCCCAGCTGACACCAGGTTTCCCGGCGGCTCTGGGTGAGCGGCCCAGAGAGGCCCCCAAACGAAGAGCTGGTGGATCAGCTTCTCACGTTCCACGTGGTGAGGGGATTCGCCATCTCCTCCAGCTAATCCTGGCTGCCCAACAGGCCTGGCCACCTTGGGAAGGTAAATGTGATGCTGCCAAGGTCACTTCTGCCAGCCCTGCTAAGGTATAAAAGACCAATGGGTGAGCTGCAGGCATGGCAGCCATGCCGGGGGGACGGGTCCTGCTGCTGTTCATGGGGCTTGCAAGTGCTGTGGGGCAGGGGCAGGAGCAGAATGTGAGTGAGAGAGATGCTTCGGTCATCGCTGTGTCCAACGGGGGACCCTGGGGAGACTGGGCCTGGCCAGAGATGTGCCCCAAGGGCTCCTACGCAACCGGTGTCAGCTTCAAGGTGCAGCCTCCACGGAAGGTGCAGGAATCCTGCTCCCAATGGTGAGCTAACCCTTGACCACCATTCCCTTGCAGGTAGAGCCTCCCCAGGGAGTGTTGGAGGATGACATGGCGCTCAACGGGATTCGGCTGCACTGCTCCCACAACGGGGATTCGAGTGGCAGCTACACAGCTGAGTCCCAGAGCAGCAGGTGAGCCTCCGGGGGTCCCTGGGCACTCCCTGTGGATGGAGATCCTCCTTCATGGCTGCCCCCAGCTCTGAAGGGCTTGCACTTTTTCCTCCTCCCACACCCCCCAATCTCAGCACCAACCATCCTCTCTCTCCCCTGTGTAGGTGGGGCCGCTGGTCGGAGACCCACTGGTGCCCTCACCAGGGACATCTGGTGGGCGTCATGCTGCGGGTCCAGGTGCCCCAGCACAGGCTCCTGAGTGATGAAGTGGCTGGCCCC